GCCAGCGGGGGGAAGTAGCCAAAGTACACGTAAAACTGCAAGAGAGGTGGGGAGAAAGCCATGCTTGCAGCCCCCCCCCACCCCAACTTCACCCCGCCCCATTAGGGGACCACCTCCATTCTAGGTGGCCCCCATCCCTTACCTGGGGATGCACAGACAAGCCCAAGCCCCTGTTGTCGGCCACAATGATGGTGATGATGGTCTTCAGCACGGTGGCAAAGAAGGTGTTGACCCCAAAGACCAGAGCACAGAGCTCTTTGGAGAGGGAGGTAGCAATGTGGAAGCTGGGAAAGAAGAGGGGACCCATGAGCCCCCAGTGCCAGCCTGGCTACCCCAGGGTAGGAGTGGGTCCCCAGGGGTACCACGCACATGGCGATGGGCACCAGGAACTGGTAGGAACCACGGAAGAGGACGTAGGCAACGTAGCACAGCCAGATATTGCTGGTGGTGTTCATGAGCAGGAGCAGCCCCGCCTGGAAAGCTGTCACCACCCCGATGACCAGCTCCGACCACAGCGTCCAGCGGATCTTCACGTAGCCGGCGGCGAAGGAGGTGACAGCCCCTGGGGGGAGAGGATGAAGGATGCTGTGAGCACCTGGCCAGCCCGGGACCACCTGGTGTCCCCCCGCCTCGCAATGCTCATCTAGCGACGCTCATCACCAGGCCGGCCGAACCACCCCCTGCATCCCCCCCAAAACGCCGTAAGGACCACCCTTCTCAAGGGGTGCAGTGGGACAGGAGTGTGTGTGTGTCCCCCCACATCCCTGGGGAGCATACCCAGCAGCGTGGAGGCGGCGTCCACCCCTCCGTTGTACACCCGGCTGTTGTCCCTGGCGGGGTAGATCTCGTTCCAGAGGATGTGCACGTAGTACAGCATCAGGTAGTAACCAGCCGAGTTGAAGACCCACCACAAGGACCAGAGCCGGAGCTGGGGCTGCCGGGACAAGGCTCCCACTTCCCGCAGCATCCGGAACAGCGCCGCTTCCCTCCAGCCCTGTGCCCCCCTTCCCCTGTCCCTCCCAGCCATCTTGTCCAGCTCGGTGGGCGCAGCACCATCCCCAGCCCCCTCGGACCGGTTGAAGAACAGGCTGCGCCGGGGCCGCTCGAGGAAGAGGGTGAGGAGGAGGCCGAAGCTGACGAAGCCCAAGGAGACGTAGTTGAGGGTGCGGAAGGGGACTCTGCCCACGGTGACGCAGAGCTGGCCCAGCACCGAGCTGGTGAAGACGCCCAGCAGGACGGCGGAGCGGGAGTAGCTGGCCATGCGCTGGTAGCGGGACGGGGCCACCAGGGAGAAGATGTAGGAGGAGTAGGCGATGCGGGCGGCCATGGTGACGCCGTAGAAGAACTCCATCAGCTGCATGGCCAGGATGGAGGTGCCCAACACCAGCAGCAGCCAGATGGAGATGTGGCTCAGGCTCTGCAGCACCAGCACGGGCTTGTAGCGCAAGTAGTCCGTAAGCAGGAAGACGGGCACCAGCACGGCCATGTAGGAGTAGCTCAGCACCGGCATGATCATGTTGGTCACCTGCCAGGTGTGCAAGGAGGGGCTGAGAACTGGATGTGTCTCCAGGGGATGCCCAGAGAACCGTGGTTTGGGGGACACACACACACCAGCTGCTGACCCCCACGGCAGCACCTCCTCGGGGAGGAATGCAGCCTGCAGTGTGCTCTGCTGGGGGCCTGGCTGAGCCTTGGCTCCCTCCTGGGCCCGGAACGCAGCTTTCCCACGGACATGGCAGCCTGCTGGGACCAAAGCCTGTGTCCCCTTGGTCAGGGATGACAACGTGTGGCCCCTCCTCATCTAACCCCATCGTTGCCGGCAGCCCTGTTGCCCCCCACCAGCACAGGAGGGTCTCCCCAGTGGGATGGAACAGGGTTTCTCCCAGGCTGGCACCCTCCCGTGCCATCCCACCAGCCACTCAGGCAGGCAGGGTTCAGGCACTGCCCCCCCAAAAAAGTGAGTTCTAGCCTAAACATGAGGTCTTACATTGGGGAAAGTTAAGCTTGGGACGGAGAGGACGGGGTGACCTCACAGCCAAGCAGGACGGGGACACGCTGCCCACCAGCCACCTTCCCACCCCCCAACCCAAAATTGCCACGTATCGCCACACGCCTCCATACCCAAGGATGCTCTGGCCAGCCCCAGGGTGGTGAACACGGCCAGGAAAAGGGGACAGCAAGGGGAGTG